AGAAGAAGAAGAAGAGCTGGGATTGTTACTGCAACGTCCTGTAAAGGATACGCAACTAACTTTAACTAGGTCAGTCGAAATCTGAAGCATAGAAGACGATGCTCGATACGGCAATTGTCACGAAAAAAAAATCATCGACGCCAGCTTAGTGTTGTTCATTAACAGCTGTGATCGGTCGTCTGCTGGATTCTGGTCATCCAGGTCCACCAAGGTCGGATTTGTGCCTTTGACAGTCCTCGCCACCCTTCTAACAGTACTGACAGCCTCACAGGGGTCACCACATACCACTTTCATTCTTCGATGAATGTCGATGTGAATATAATCATTAGCCGTCAAAAATTTAATCACAGAACGTTATTTCAACTGGATTTCCACCTACGTAGGGATACTGTACGCATGCACCACTTCTACACATGTGATAATCCATAGCTTCAATGTCACTTACTCATACAACATTCTCACATCGGTGTCGCTACCACCCCCCCCCCCCCTCCCTTTCTCCTATCCAACCAGGCGCCAATAAAGTTATGTAACCGGAGCCATACTTTTCCAACCGCCCTCGTTGTATGCATACTTGGAGAGACTTTTGCAGCCAGAACTGCAGCAGAATGAATACATACTTGAACAGATTAAGCAAGAGGAATATCATGTAAAGATGTAACACCGCACGAAAAGTAGATCAGCGAGCTTCACAATATAACAAACACAAAAGAACGGTGAACGTTGCGGCTATAGAGCAAGCTTGTCCTTTGGTCACAGATTTAGCCTACTATATATATATTATGCAGTGGAAGCTGCGATAGGCAGTGGCTAGCAAGCTTGTCCTTTGTCACAGATTTAGCCTACTATATTATATTATGCAGTGGATGCGATAGCAGTGGCTAGCAAGCTTGCGGTCACAGATTTAGCCTACTATATTATATTATGCAGTGGAAGCTATAGGCAAGGCTAGTTGTCCTTTGGTCACAGATTTAGCCTACTATATTATATTATGCAGTGGAAGCTGCGATATTATGCAGTGGAAGCTAGCAAGCAGTGTAGCAAGCTTGTCCTTTGGTCACAGATTTAGCCTACTATATTATATTATGCAGTGGAAGCTGCGATAGGCAGTGGCTAGCAAGCTTGTCCTTTGGTCACAGATTTAGCCTACTATATTATATTATGCAGTGGAAGCTGCGATAGGCAGTGGCTAGCAAGCTTGTCCTTGGTCACAGATTTAGCCTACTATATTATATTATGCAGTGGAAGCTGCGATAGGCAGTGGCTAGCAAGCTTGTCCTTTGGTCACAGATTTAGCCTACTATATTATATATTATGCAGTGGAAGCTGCGATAGGCAGTGGCTAGCAAGCTTGTCCTTTGGTCACAGATTTAGCCTACTATATTATATTATGCAGTGGAAGCTGCGATAGGCAGTGGCTAGCAAGCTTGTCCTTTGGTCACAGATTTAGCCTACTATATTATATTATGCAGTGGAAGCTGCGATAGGCAGTGGCTAGCAAGCTTGTCCTTTGGTCACAGATTTAGCCTACTATATTATATTATGCAGTGGAAGCTGCGATAGGCAGTGGCTAGCAAGCTTGTCCTTTGGTCACAGATTTAGCCTACTATATTATATTATGCAGTGGAAGCTGCGATAGGCAGTGGCTAGCAAGCTTGTCCTTTGGTCACAGATTTAGCCTACTATATTATATTATGCAGTGGAAGCTGCGATAGGCAGTGGCTAGCAAGCTTGTCCTTTGGTCACAGATTTAGCCTACTATATTATATTATGCAGTGGAAGCTGCGATAGGCAGTGGCTAGCAAGCTTGTCCTTTGGTCACAGATTTAGCCTACTATATTATATTATGCAGTGGAAGCTGCGATAGGCAGTGGCTAGCAAGCTTGTCCTTTGGTCACAGATTTAGCCTACTATATTATATTATGCAGTGGAAGCTGCGATAGGCAGTGGCTAGCAAGCTTGTCCTTTGGTCACAGATTTAGCCTACTATATTATATTATGCCGTGGAAGCTGCGGTAGGCAGTGGCTAGCAAGCTTGTCCT